AAAAAATAAATAAATAGGTGAATTGTATGGTATGTGAGTTATAGCTCAATAAAGAAAAAAGAAGTGCTAAGAACCTGAACTGATATGACAGTGCATGGGTATTGAAAAGAAGATTGGAGCGGGCCTCATAACAGGCTTCAAGTCTGTGTGACTGAGAAAATGGTGGTGCATTAATAGAGATTGTCCAAGAATAGGCTGAGTGGGCTAAGAAAACTATCAGTAATTTGGTAATGGTACCTAATAACCAGTTCATATTTAAATTTTCACAATTGTCCAAGTAATGGCTTTTATGGTTAAAAAAAGGATCATGCATTGCATTTGGTGTTACATCTTTTATTAGTCTCCTAGTCTTATTTTAAATAATATTGACTTTTTGAAGTATATTCATACAATGGAAATTACACAGCATAAAGCAAAAATGAATCATTGATATATGTGGCAATACAAAGTAATCTCAAAAACATTGTGTTGAGGGAAAGAAGCCAGACACAAAAATGTACATGCCGTGTGATTCTGTTTATATAAATTTCAGAAACAGGCAAAATTAATCAATGGTGATAGAAATCAGCACACTATTGCCTGGGGCAGGGGATGTGGGATTGACAGGAAAGGAACTTTCTAGCGCAATGGGAATATTCTATATTTTGATTGGGATGGTGATCACACAGGTATTAGAACTCAACTAATTGTACTTTTTAGGTTTGTGCAGTTCATTGTATGTAAATTTCTCCCCAAAAAGTCACATGAAATAAATCTGTATAATTATGTTACTAATTTGATAAATGATTAGGTTCATTTCTTTCAGATTGCTTTCAGTTTTAGGGTTTCCTTTTTTCCCTTTTCTATTTTACTTTTAAAATGTATACCATAAGGATAGCATATAGGTTAATGGAAGAAAATAGAAAGTCCAGAATGGTCAACTGATTTTTGACAAAAGCGTCAAGGCAATTCAATGTGGAAAGGGATAGTCTTTGCAGCAGATGGTATAAAATAATATAGTCTTTTACAGAAATTATTTTACTTTCATCACAGCAGTGTATGGGTTTTGTTTTGTTTTTACAGATCTTATAAGTGATACAGAGTTCTAGCCTACAACCAGATGTGATTATAAATTCTAAAATCTAGACTATTTATTTTATTCATTCTCATTCCTCAGTTTATTGGACACCTTCTATGTACTAGGCAGTGTGCTGGATGCTGGCAAAACTTGATGAGTGTAGGTCAGACTTGTTCCCAGTGAAGCTGACAATATCATTGGAAAACCAGACAAAAACCTAGAAATGAAAAGAGAAAAAAAATGTAATTGTGGCGGGCAGGCTGAGTGGCCCGTTGGTTAAGAGTTGGGTTGGGACGCCAGCTCTAAGCAGCAGGGCCCAGGTTCAGATCCCACATGAGGGCCAGTGACACTGCACCCTCTACAGCCAAGATGGTGAACAACAGCTTGACCTGGTGCTGGGCTGCCATGAGTCGCCGGCGAATGCATAGGCTGCAGCCCCTGCTGCAGTGGGCTGCCGTGAGCTACCGTGAGTGGCTGACAGACATCGTGAGCAGCTGGCAGACAGCGTGAGCTGCAGTGAGCCACCATGAGCAGCCGTCCAATAGGCAAACAGCAACTGCCTTACCCGGGAAGAGCACAATGATAATACCAACATGGGCCAGTGAAGTGACATCCTCCACAACTAGACTGAAGAACAAAAAGACTGCAACTTGTCTGTTCCCCTCCCCCGGTTCCCCAATAAATCTTAAAAAAAAATTTAATTGTGGCATATCCACAAGTAAATTAAAAAGGGGCTGGAATAGAAAATAAGGTGAAAGGGTGTTTATGAAAAGCTCTCTCCAAGGTGGGGATATTTTAAGTTGAGACCTAAAGAATGAAAAACAATGGCTCAGTTGGTTAAGAGTTTGCTTAAGAGCACGAACTATGAGCAACAGTGTCGCTGGTTCGATTCCCACATGGGCCAGTGAGCTTCACCCGAGCTGAGCTGTCAATAGGTAGCAGGATGGCTCAGCTGGTGAGAGCACGTGCTCCTAATGACAAGATTGCCTGTTTGATGGTGGGCTATGCCCACCTGCAATTAAAGACTGAACTTGGTGCCTTGAACTGAGCTGACACCCGGATAGCTTAGTGGATAGAGCACGTACTCTTAACAGCAAGGTTGCCGGTTTGACTCCCAAATGAAGGAAAAAAAAGAATGAAAAACAAGTTAAGGGTTAAGTAGGAGAATAGAACTTCTCAGGCAAAATTATTGGTGTTTTCCAGGAACTGAAAAGAAGCCAGTAAAGCTCTGAGGTGAAGAGCAAGAGAAGAGGGGTGATGAGATCAGACAAGCAGGTAGGGCCAGGTCAGGCCAGGCAGCGCTCACACAGCCTAGGGTGTAAGGTGTTCACAAGCAAATAGAAGCCACTAGAGGATTATAAATTGTGGAGGGACTAGATGCCACCTAGGTTTTCACTCTTTCTGCTGTGAGGAAACTTGGTTGGAAAGTGGTAAAAAGTGCATGTGCCTAGGTTAGAGTTTCACTACTTCCTGCTACCATTTGTTTTTTTCTCTTTAAAATTAATTTCTCAACATTCAAAGAGAGATGATTTACATTCATGTCCAGTCTCCCTCTCTTTCTCTGTGTCCTCCCCAGCAAGCAAACTCAAGAATGAGTTTATATATTCTGCTGACTCAATTTCTTTTTCTTTTCTTTTCTTTTAAAGATTTTATTGGGGAATTGGGAAAAAGGAACAGTGTTGGGGAATTGGGGAAGGGTAACAGCCAATTTGTTGTCCAATCTTAGTTGTAGAGGGTGCAGCTAGCTCAGCTCCAAGTCCAGTCGCCATCCGGCCGCCCATCAGCAGCTTGCGGCCGCTCAGCTGAAGGTGCCGTGTTCAATCTTAGTTGCGGGTGGGTATAGCCCACCATCCCAGGGGGGAGTTGAACTGGAAACCTTGTTGCTAAGAGCACACACTGTAACCACTGAGCCATCGGGCTGCCTGTTGGCAGCTCAGTGGCAGCTCAGCTCGGGCGCAGTTCACTGGCCCATGTGGGAATCGAACTGGCGACTCTTTCTCAGAGCTCACGCTCTTAACCAACTGAGCCACTCAGTGGCCCCTGACTCGATTTCTAATTAAACCACAGACTGAAGCCTTAGCTTGGGAGCAGGTGAGACAAACAGCTAGTAAACCATCTCTTTGTGACTAAGCTGACAGGAATTTAGGTCAGTGATTTTG